AATTGTCATTTTATAAGCGCATGCGCTTATAAATCTGACTCAATTATAAGCGCACCCCCCCAAAAAACAATGTTTTATTATAAGCGCAGGTGCGCTTCTATCCGGGGTATTACGGTATTCCTTGGATGCAAACATTGTCGACAGTAACCCGTGTGCGCGGCGTCCGAAGGATTCATGGGTTTATGAACAAAATTATAATCCCATCACTTTCTTGGTTGAAGTGTCAGAATGATGCTGGCACACAAATATATTTTTCTCCTACAGTTCCAGAGCAGGACCTAGCATTATACTCATAGAACTTTGAAATAGCTGTGGTTGTAGCTCCGCCGTAAAAGCGGTAAGCAGCTGAACATGCCATTGATGGTGGGACAGGCTTGACTCTCCCCTTCTTGCAGAATCCCAATCTGAATGACCAACAGTCTGCCCTAAGACAAACCTGGGATAGCAAGATGCCCAAGTGCATGTGCAAAGTGCATGAAATGAGTAGGAAGTTCAAGAAACCTAAAAATGACAAGGCCTGACCAGAAGTGAAGATAAAAAAACTTGTAGAAAAAAAAAGGCGAGGTGGCAATAAGAGTGTGCCTTCCCCCAGGTGGGCACTGACAGCAGACAGAGCACAACCATCCTTGTCCACAATAGCTGTTCCCTTCTGTTTCCTCCCATCTCCCTACCCTCTCCTCTCTCTCCCCACAATCACAAGACCTCACCTGCACGCCAATCTTGCTGCCAACAACAGAGGCAGAGGCAGGGATGCTATCCGAGCAAGTGAGGCCGGGATTGTTGCGGTAGAGCTCAGCCCAGTGGTTTGCGCTCAGGTTCGGCTCGTTCACAGTCCTCTGAAGCAGCCGGTCGCACGTGTCTTGCGGTGTGAGCATGCCGTGCTTCACACACTCGGGGACGGTGAAGGCAAAAGCGGGGTTGCGCTCGATGCACACAGAACGGCCCGCCTTGATGGGCTCGGCGCAGTCAAGCCCGGGGTTGAGCGCAGTAAGAGAAGCTTCGTTCAAGTTGGTCTGATCGGCGATGGTGGAACAGAGGTCTCCCTGGAACATAGTGTGGGAGGTGGAGAACAGAGGGGCGGGGTGCATGTGCTGGTTGCATAGTGCATCTGGTACTGGGAATGTTGCGTGGCATTGAGGTGAGGGTGGGATGACAACAAGCTCGAACGACCTGCTGTGCACGGTGCGGTTGGTGGAATCCTATTGGAATTGTATCAGATATTAACACATGGAGAGAGTAGAAGACGGCCTTTAAAGCAACTGAAACGTTGGTGCAATCCCAAGGGCATGGTATGGCATCTCACATGGAGGGAGTAGAAGAAAGCAGTGCAGGGTGTGGTGGGTGTGCCAGTCAATTGGAGGACGGTGCCCCTGGGCAGTGGCTCGGTGCAGTCTACTGCCTGCAATTGTTGCGGAGCACATTGGGACAAGGGGCAGGGTGAGTGAGAGGGCCTTATCATACCTTGCATGGGCGTGAGGTTTACAAACCTTAGTACACAACACCAATGCGATACAAACATAACATGGAGTAACAAGAATGCATGAGACCAAGTGAAGTGTCTCAGACATGGAGAAGTAAAGCATGGGAGATTGATGATATTGTGGTGATGTGTAAAAGCCCACTTTAGACCGGAGAAAAAACAACAGGGAATTGAGTAGTGGCGACCCCATGAGTCCCATTCCTTTGCCTCGTTCACTTACCGCATTTTGGAGTGTGAAATCAGCCAGTGAGAGGCCGGCAAGAGGATACACATCTGAGCACCACCAGTTGTCTCCACTGACTGTCATGGCGGTGGCTGTGGTGTTAGCTGCAAAGCAGGTAGAGAGTTAGTGAAGGAGGGAGACGAAGATGTCAGGAAAAGGGGGCAAGGTTGGAGATTGAGCAGATTCATGCCACCAACTCTAAATAGCTGTACGACATACAGTACGGACTTGGGATGGAAACAAAAGGAGATTAAGAGCAGGAGAAACGCACACAGCCAAACACTAGAGTAACTTCTCACCTGGGTCGCAGGTGGGGGTGTCATAGACAGTTGTGCTTTCAACGCAGTTGGGAGGGCAGATGCAGGAGTAGGAGCCTCTGCTGTCGTTGATGCATGTGCCCACGTAGCAGGGGTTCTTGAAGTACGACCCACACACGTCCACTGACAGATAGATAGCACATGGGTGGGACAAAGAGGAAGAAGAGAAAGGAAACACAAACATGCTGCCACAAATGTGGGGTTCCGAAGCCCCCTCACCTCCCCTAACACCTCTGCTCCTTCTGACTCTCAGTAATATGAACTGAACTGAACCTGCCGGTGCTGCAGCCACAGCAGGTGCTGCGCTGCTGTGCTGTTGCAACCTAACAACCCAGTACCCAGTAGAACCCACCCGCAGCTTACCATAAGCACACGTGCTGGCGCCATTCCCGTTGTCAGCCTCAACAAACGGCTGCCTGGCAGCTCCTTCTATGGTGCAGCTGCAGGTATAGCTGCTGTCATCCACCGCATTGCACCTGAACCGACCGCACGGGTTCATGCCGGACAGATCCTGGTCGCCCCTGTAGCTGTTGCTGCTGCATGGGTCCCCCAGAACTGGAGGAAAGACAGGAGAATACATGTGAGGGAGGGAGGTGCATTGAGATGGAAGATGCAAGATCGTAGCACAGGGGGAACGGGAATGGGACTGTGCAACTCAAGTCACCCTAGTAGTAGCGTACATGGAAGCTCAGTGCCAGTCGGTGTGTATGTGCCTGGCAAACTTGCCATCGCCATTGAAAGATAAACCCGAAGATGGAATAAATGTCTCACTCTTGACAATGGGGTAGATGCCAGGCAGCACGTTGATGCCACACACGCCATCCCCTCCCTGAATGTCCATGCGCATGTGGCCCTTATCTCCCCACTCCTCTCCCCACGAGTTGCGGATGATCCAAAACGGCGGCGCAATGCGGTTCTGGCTGCCGTCGTTTCTATTAATGAAGTAGCCAACAACGAGTACAACGTGGTTCAGATTGCCGGTGTAGCAGTCAGGATCCTGGTACTTGAACGTCTGATGCACAAACAGAGGACAGCACAGAACAGCACAGCACATCCGAGAAGATGTTCAGTAACCAGCATGACATTGCATTGCAACACAAGGGAATGCGCCGCATTCTTACGGATGGACATCTTTTTGCAAGACGATCACACCAAACGAGTGCTGCACGAACTCCCTTCATCCTAGGTGACGCACGGACTGCTCACCCCATCGATGCACGGACTGCTCACCCCATCGATGCACGGACTGCTCACCCCATCGATGCACGGACTGCTCACCCCATCGTAGCCGACAAACGTGGCAGCAGAGGCTTCGATGTGAACCACCACTGGCTGCCGCCGCACTGCCAGCATGAGCCCCACATACCCCTTGAATGATGTGCGCTCAAAGCCCTGGATGGGGTACTTTGTCGTCTGCAAGAACGATATTGATGAAAGAACAGATAAAATCAAATCGATATACATCATAAGATCTGGACAGATCAGATCAGAGCACATAGAGATTGTTGGGAGATAAATGAAGCGATAGAAACACCGTCGGCCAGCAAGGGCCGCGCATGCCTCGCGTGCATGTCACTCAAGAGCAACAAGCTCTTCAATATCCTCGGCAGGTGAACCTCCAGCCGAGCACTTGTCTGCATCGGTTTCTGAGATGCCTCATGTCAGCCAGTCAACCCCACGGCTGCAAAGAGTGCTTACATTGCCAGCTGTGAGTGAGGCGACTCAAGACTTACCGATTCAGTGACCCCAGTGAGCCCACTCCCGGCATCAAGGGCAACGAGCTTCTCAAAAGCCTCAGTGGGAGAGCCTCCAGAGGAGCACTGGTCTGCACCAGCCAGCCCCATGGCTGCAAAGAGCGGCTCCAGTGATAGCTGTGGCGCACTCTGATGCCGTGCAATGCCGTACGCTGCTTCTATGCTCGCCACCACTGCGTACGCCCAGCATGCATCTGAGGAGAAGGAGAAGAAGAAGGAAAATAACAAGATGGCGATGGGTGAGGGATGTGACACGGGGATGAGGAAGAACGTGCATTTCCGTGACGCACACACATGCACCAGTGTCCAGAAAGCTTGAACTGATAAGACTCCCTGAATCCGAAGCATCCTCGTGCTCTCCATCCAACTTGCCACCCTCGTTCCACTCACTGCAGTCGGCCTGGTCCTTGACCAGCCAAGCGAGGAAGTCTAAAGAGTTCCAGGTGTGGAAATCACGGATGCGCCACGAGTCGTCATCGTTGGACGCCAGTTCGTAGTCCGTGCTCACATAGCGCAGGAAGGGGCTGGCTCTAGGGGGAGCGTATGTGACTGATGTGAGTGCAAGGCCGCGAGCTGTGTGAGGGGGGGAAGGGGTGGAGGAAAAAGGAGAGAGGCGCGCATGTGGATGAGGGTTTGTGACTCTGATGTTGGTTCTAAATGACAGATGTCAAGGCTGCTTTTTGTGTGTGTGGCAGAGGGAGCTCACCTTGCTCTTTGATGCGGACTGGCTTGAGTGGAAACACGCCTGTGAGTGGGAGCACACACACACACACACACACGCACACACACACACACACACACACACACACACACACACACACACACACACACACACACACACACACACACACACACACACACACACACACGGCACAAAGAAAGATAACAGCAACAGGTACACGATCGACACATGATCGGGCCTTGAGACAAGGAGAGGACCAGCCACATGAATCGCAAGCAATGACAAGGCAAGATCGTTTGAACCAGCTACCACCTCAACACCTTACCTTACCAAACTGGTTGCAACGTAACCAGAAGTACTGCAAACCTGCACCGGTCCCCTCGTTACCCATTAATTTCATGACAATTGCAACAACACCACTCCCAAGCTCATCACCATCCCTTCCCCATCCCCATCGCCATCCCCATCCCCATCCCCCCGTCCCCATCCCCATTCCCGCATCCCCATCCCCCCATCCGCATCACCCCACCCAGCAAGCCCTGACCTGTTTGCACGGCAGAGCGCACAATGCCATGCAGCTGGAACGGCTTCACCGTAGTGGACGCCACAAACCCAAAGAAGAACGCGCTCTGCCGCACACCACCCTGCAGCACCACACACAGGGAAAACTCCTCCTGCAACAGCGGCTCCTCTGGCTTCCTCCTGGAATCAGCTAGAAACACCCGCATGGTGCCGGGATCCCCGGGATCACCAGGCTCATAGTCCACCCATGCCGTATATGCGTTGCCATCCGTGAGCATGTAAGGGGACACCTCAGCGACCAAGGATCGATCCAGGCCGTTGATATTGAGCCCCACGTGCTGCCGGCTGACATCGCTGTGGTTGCCGTTCTGCAACGTGTCAAACTCCACCGCCAGGCTCCGCGGCCCCACCCCGCCATACCCCACGCCGTCCCCCCTCCCCACCTTGGCCTTTGCTGCAATGACAAACGCAAAGCCGTTGGACCCGGCAGCGCCAGACTCGGGAACAAGGGAGAAGGTGAAGTTGACAGTGAACGCTAGCTCCACACCGCATCCCAGGGATTGGGGCAGACCGGAAGGGTATGCGAAGAGGGTGACTGGCTTTGCCATGAACTTCCCGGCTGTTTCCCGCTTGGTGCCCTTGGTGAGTATGGTGAAGGGCGGGAGGATGGGGCTGCTGACAGGGAGGGTCTTCACCCACTCTGAAGGGATGCGAGGGGAGGCAGTGAAGAGGAAGGAAGGAAGCAGAGGGATGGTGTTTTGTTCCAGTGCGTGCACCTGCTCTTACTCTGCTTGTGATGCCCATGCTACAGCCAAGGATGGGCGAAGCTGTGTGTAAAGGGTGGGCGACCCTTGTTTCTTCTTTAAGCAAAGGGCACGTTTATATGTGTGTACCTTCAGCAATGCAGGTGTTTCCTGGAAGCTGCAGAGACCCCGGGTCGCAGCGCATGCAAGTGGGCACCAAGCTGGGCCCGTCCGGATAGCAAGTCCCCTGGCCTTCACATGCAGATGTCGCGTTGGTGATCCCGCAAAACGCTGCACACTCTGCTGCTGGCCTCTGCAGCAGGTCAGAGCTGCATGCGTTGTCGAGTGTGAAGCAATTGGCGATGATGTTGTGCTGCGTGCAGGTGGGCTCTGAGATAGCACCGGATAGGTAGTTGTTTGCAAGATCCATTCTGAACTGTGTGGTGTTTGTAAGGCGACCTGTGAGGTAGTTGTGTGAGAGATCACTGGAAAGGGGAGGGGAAGAGGAAGGGGAAGTGGGGGTGGTGGTGGGTTGAGGGGGTAAGAAAAACAGGCAGCAGGTTTGCGAAAGGAATCTGAGAAGCAGATGATTATACGGCTGTGAATGCTATGAGGAGGAGGGGAAAGGAGGAGGAGGAGGAGGAGGAGGAGGAGGAGGAGGAGGAGGAGGAGGAGGAGGAGGAGGAGGAGGAGGAGGAGGAGGAGGAGGAGGAGGAGGAGGAGGAGGAGGAGGAGGGAAATAAAGGTCAACACTGCATTCAGGAGAGCTGTGCTGGTATGGGTTACCGGCACCAGTAGGAGGGAGAAGAAGAGCAGCGGGTAAGGTAAGAGTGTATGAGCAAGGTGAAGTGAGCATGCATCAATGACAGCGGGTGGTTCACAGTGCCGGAGTAAGACGATTGAGTCACCACGTAGGCCAGTGACTGGTGCTTGTTGTGCTTACCATTCTTTCAAATCCGTGAGCTGCGAGAGAGACGCGGGCAAGGTGCCATACAGCTGGTTGTATGCGAGTGACCTAATGCTCGTGCCGAGGGGGGGCAGTGGAAAGGGGAAACGGGTAGGTCCAGGTGGATAGAGAGGGATGACCAAGGAGCAGGAGTTGTGCAGCAACCATATAAGAGATGGGTTTTGGTATAAGAACGATGGGTTAACGTAAGGATGGTATGAAACTAGAAGCTGCGCCCATGTGCATGCAATTTGCGAGACAATGTAGGAGAGCGTGGGAGGTATGGCACGGCAGGAGCACCTGCATATCACACCTTGCAGGTTGAGGGAAAGGGTGAGTGAGAGAAAGCTCTCAAGTGAGTGCAGCACCGCGGGATGTTGAGAAGGTTGTTATAGCGGGCTCACAGGTAGACTAAGGCAGTTAAGCTGCGTATCGTGTCAGGGATGACTCCCGCAAGCTGGTTGCTGTGCAGGCGTCTGCCAAAAACAGGGGTGCCACGCGCGGTTTAGATATAGACTTGAAATAAAGGGTGAATTACAAGGGGCCAGCTTGGCATAGAGTGCGGTGTAGTGAGGTATTGCAAGAGATGTGCGAGTATGTGTTCTGCGACTGCGAGGTACATTCAATGGGCAAGCAAAGGGAGGGCAAAGGGAGGGAAAAGGCCGAGCAAAGGGAAGGCAGAGCAAAGGCAAAGGGAAGGCAAAGGGAGAGCAAGGGACAGCAAAGAAGAAAGGGTGGCAAGAGAATGCTTGTGTTTTGTGTGCACTCACACTCACTGATGCGCGCATACGGCGTGTGAGTGACGAGTTCACAAGGCCATGCCTTTCATACATGGCAGCTGCCATGCGTGATACACAGCCATTATAAGAGACATGGAGGCACGGAGGCATGGATGGAGGCATGCGGGTATCGTAACGTGCCTTGTTGGAGGAATGCAATGCAAGTCACACAGGACAGAGTGAGGTGAGCAAGTCGCCTCCCCATTGAGCAAGTCAGAGAAAGGTGAGCAACTCACAGAGACCAGAGCTTGGAGAGCTTGCTGACTGTGGAGGGAACAGGCCCTGAGAGCTTGTTCATGCTCACCTCCCTGCATGTGTGCATGTACCGACCGGGGAGAGACAGAACTTCAAAGGAATGCAGTGGAAGCGCCATTGTAAGATGCACTGTGTGCGATGCTCTAAGGTCGGTTGCAGCCCCGATGCTGCTGCAACCGGAGAAAACTCCTTCTTTTCTCCCCGCACTGCACTTCTGGCAGCCTAACAAATTGTTTGAGTGCACTACACCACACTGCACTGTACTGCACTTTGCGTCGCTGCGCTGTACCACAGTGCATCGCACTGCAGGACATGCTCTTTAGATGGCAGTGGATGAAGAGAAGTGTGATGGTAGTAGAGCAAGGAACACGATCATGGTCTGACTGAGGGCAAATTAGAAACGACTTTGAATGAGGGATGGGATGGGATGGGATGCGTGAGGGTGCATGGCAGCATCTTACATCCACAGCAGATTCGTGAGTGAGAAGAGGCTTCCTGGCAAGCTACCTTCCAACTCGTTCTTCTCTATGTGCCTGCCGGGCAGAAGGATGAGAGAGTAGTAGGATGCGGTTCTAACACTCTCTCTATGTTTCTGTGAGGTAGAGGGGAGTGATAGGACGTTGTTTTGACGCATGGATGGGGTCACGAGGGGTTTTCAAGATCAGCCATGCATCATTCCATGAGACAATATGCCGGTACAGGAATCTACCCCTACTATATCTGCTTGGGATGGCTTGGCATGGCATGGCGTGACATTGCATGGCGTGGCATGGCATAGCAACACTGACATGACAAGGAGATTTCTCAAGCCGCTGATGGATGGAGGGATGGGGCCTGTCAAGCGGTTGCTGCTAAGGTCCCTGGAGCAGTAAGCAGAGAATACGGGCGGGCGAGAGAGTGAATATATGCTGGGGAAAAGGGCACCGTGGGATATAAGGAGTGCAATTTTTCACTCGACTCAAAAAAAAAAAAACTGTGGGATATGAAGTTTGTGGGTGCGAGGCTGCAGTAGCATTGAGTTAGCTCTACTAGATGAAGCACATGCATTGCCATGTGCGGGGACGGGGAGGGTTGTGACACGTGCAATGGGAAGGAGAGGATGAGGAGGAGAAGGGCTGAATGGAGTGGTTGGGCTCAGATTAGACTGAACCTAGCAATAAACAATTGGAAGGTAGAAGTGCGGAGAGGAGGGGCGCAGGTAGGAAAGAGTGGGCTTACAGAGACATCAAGTTCTTAAGGTTACCGATTGAAGCAGGAAGTGAGCCTGTGAGCTGATTGGCGTAGAGTTTTCTGTTGTTGCGATGGACATGGATGGGGCATGACATGGATGGGGCATGACATGGATGCAGGCAGAGGTGCAGAGGGTTCAAGGTGCGACGGGCCAATGGCAGAAAAAAAAAACACGTTTCTGAGGTGATGGGAGTCAATAGTACACCCTATCTAAGACGATGTCACATCCCACCTCAGCACATTCGCAGTGAAGCAGGCAGGGGCCAGGCAGGCAAGGTTCTTGAGCCAGTAGACTACAGTGAGTGGATGGGGGACAACAACTGAAGGGGTGACACGGAGTAAAAGAGGAGTGGCAGTGCACTGATTGGCCTGAGTCAGTCATTCCCGGCAGTTGAATGAGCACAGAATGAATCTTTAAGGGCTTACAGGTTTGTGAGGCCTGTAAGATTGCCGATGGAAGTGGGAATTGAACCTGTGAGCTTATTCCTTTCAAGAGATCTGCAGGATGGGCAGACAATAAGAAGCAGCAAGGGGTGGTTTTGAGTTGACTCCAGAGATACGGTTCTGTTATGCAGGGAAAGGCAGACTATAGACGGGGATTGGAAACTTGAATTTCAGGTTTGGTCCAAAATGAGTTGGAAGAGAAGCGAGGAGTGGGGAGAGTAGTAAATGACGAAAATGAACAGATAAGACAGAAGAGAAGTGGTACACAGAGAGGGAAAGGAAAGAGCGAAGGAAAGAAGAGGATGTGAAACGAGAGGAAAGAACGCAAATGGTATGAGCGAAATGAGTCAAGCAGGAGAGACGGTGAGAATAGAAGAACAAACTTGTACAGAACTAGAAGAGGAATTTCTGAAATGAGAGGACAAGTACCAACCAGATATGCGTGGCATGAGTGGGTGGGAATTGTAGGGGCGGAAGGGAAGAGAGGAGCAACATGCACTTAATTGGCATGATGCATGCGATGCTACTACCTATGTACAGTAAAGGAGAGGGTGGTGGGACATGGACTGGGATGGAGAGGCGAAGAAGGAAGATGGATGCGTGGACAGGGAAAGAGAGGTATTCCAGGATGCAGCAGGAGCAGGGGCAAGATTTGAGGGGAGTGGCAGAGACAGAAGGGCAGGGGCAGAGAGACAGGAAGTGCAGAAGAAAAGCAGAGCAGAGAGGTGACTGTGAATCCAATCACAAAAGAGGGCTCACAGGTAATTCAGGTTTCTAAGGTTGCCGATCGCAGCGGGTATTGAACCCGTGAGTTGATTATTATATATGTATCTGTAAAGGGCGCAAGGGAAAAACTGGAGGGTTGTATTGGGAAAGGGAAAGAAAGGACTGATAGTTTGTAAGAATATATGGCATAGAGAGATGTGACAGGATGAACGGACGGAGGCTGAAGGGGGACAGAATCAGAGGGGGTATTACAGGTAATTCAGGTTTGTGAGGTTGGTGATTGCAGCAGGGATTGGGCCGCTGATCTGATTGTAGAACAGGTACCTGGATGAATGATGATGACAATGAACCGGGAAAGTATAGAAAGATTGTTCAAAAGAAGAAGTGGAAATGATAAAATTTACGAGTAGTGACAAATCAGCACTAAGAGGAGGCTCCATATTCCAAAAAGGAGATATGAAAATTCTTGAAACAGAAGGCTTATAATGCAAGAGAAGAGCAGAAAAAAAAAAGAGGGAAACAGAGGATTCATGCTTCAAGGAGAAGGAGAGCAAAGACTGGAGAGGAGGGTTGGCAGTAACCTGTAGCGTGCAGGCAAGGCGCGCACGCATGAGAAAGAAGACAGAGGGCTTACAGGCCTCTCAGGTCCTGTGAGATGCCTCAAGAAGAGTCCACGTACAGGTCGTTCAGCTTTACAAGGTTGCCGATCGCTGCTGAGATTGAGCCGGTGAAATTATTTTCGGAGAGACCTCTGCAGTGGTGAGCGCGAATGAGAGCATCTCGGTGGGAGTAAAACAATGTGAGTGGGAGGGTGCAATGAAAGAAATCGAAGATATGCAAAAGCACCCAAACAATAAAAAAATATAAGAAAAAAACGACAGAACACAAAGCAAAAGCAAAGATGCTGAAGCAACACATAGGCATCATGGGGATTCTTGACTAGAGCATGTACGGAGGCTATAGCAAAGGTCGGGCAAGAGGGTTGACGGGAAAGATGGGAGTTGGGAGAGTGAAGACAAGGGTCCTTATAAAGGCCTTACAGATATTCCAGGTTTGTTAGAGTGTACAGTGAGGGAGGGATTGAGCCTGAGAGCAGATTCTCGTTTAGATTTCTGTGGCAAGGAATGCAAATGGTTATTCGACAGAAATGTGAGAAGGTTCAGAGATAGAGGAGATGGAACGGTCTAGAGAAGACGGCAGGAAAAGAAGCAAAAGGAGAATGAGTGGAGACGGAGCAACAGAGCAGAGTACCCAAGCACTTGTGGTCTGATGGAGAGGCCTTGTACTGTTGTGATGGGAGCAGCCTTACAGTTCTGTGAGTGAGCTTGTCAGGGCTGCTAATGGCACCGGGTATTGACCCCGTGAACCGATTGCTTGCAAGAATTTGAGACAATGAACATGAATGGTGCTCTGCACATAGTGCCCAGCCCAGTGCCCATCCCCCCTCTCACACAGTTATCGCATCTATCTATAGTCTGCTGCTGCCCTCTCAACTTCCCAACCTCATTCCCCATTGCTCCTCATATTGCATTCAGTCCGCTGAAACTTCATGCCCCAAATGCGACCGATCCTTCCTTCTAACCAGGCAGCTCAGCCCTGCTCAGCTCAGCCCAGCCCAGCTCAGCCCAGCTCAGCGGGAGGGGGGCGGAGGGGGCAGCAGAGCACGTACAGGAATTTGAGGCTCCTGAGGTTGCCAATGGAGTCGGGAATGGGCCCTTGCAGATCCATGCCCATTAGACTTCTGCACCAACACAACGCATCGCACCGCATGATGCAGCACACAAATGGTATAGCTTCAATATCACGGTTGCTCTATAAGGGCATGCACCAGCGCATCTCATTGCATTGCATTGCATGGCATGATACGTCACATGGAACGGCCATTAGGCACGTCTAGTGTGGTGGGCAGGCATGACTTATTTGTCCATAAGGATCTGCATCACATCTCGTTGCACCGCACAGCATTGCATTGCATCGCATCACATTTGCATTCCCATTCCCCTGCATGGGCGCGCGGGGGGCATTCCCCTGCATGAGCGCCGCAGGGCGTCATCTTCCCCACATGGGCGCGCAGTGTAGTGCGAGCAGATGCACGCACCATGCACGGAACTCACATGTCCACGATCATCCCTTTACTGTCACAGCTGATGTAAGATATAGATGAGCAGCGGGGGTTGGCGCCACTCCAGCCAGGGAACGTCCGCCCCCATGCGGACTGGCAGTCCTGTAGGAACTGCACTGTGGGGTGTGGAGGAGCGGTTGGGGGATGGGGGATCGGGGGAAGTGGAGGGTGGAAGGGGTGTTGGTGGGAAAACGGGGAGATGGATGGGTGGTGAAGGGAAAGGGGGGAAATGGGACAGGGGGTAAGGGAAAAGGGGAGATGATGGTGGTGGGGGAGGATGGAGGGCAGGAGAATTGGGGGGTTGGGGGGGGGCGGGCGCGGGGGGATGAGTTGGGAGAGGGAGGAAGATGGAGTGGACTACGGGGAAAAGGGTTCGGGGAAGGTGATTGTTGTGCTGTGATCCAATGATCTCACCAAAGGTCACTTTGACGGTACTTTGTACTACAACCGGCACCTTGCGAGGCCTCGAGCGACACGGCGTGGACCACGGCGAAGGGCGTGGCGAGGCGCGTGGCGGCAAGCGCGGCGAGGCACCACGCGAGTTCCAGCGCGCCGCGCCGCTGCTGCCGCTGCTTTCGAGGCTGAGTCAGCGGCTGCTGCGGCCGGTGCTGCTGTTCTACCCGACTCTCACGGCGGCGCGCGGCGGCCATTTTCCGACCACAGTCCACCCGCGCCGCCTCTGGAGCCGAGATACCCGAGGGGCGGCAGGCGCGGAGGATGGAGCAGCGATTTTGCGGCTGCATGTGGTCGGTGGAGGCCATTGGCGATGTCATTCTGCTATGGTTTGCGCTACGTCGAGTCGACGCAGGATGTGATCTACACGAGTCGTGTTGCTGACGCGGCGCTGCGACGGTAACTCTCGATCGTACTATGATTATGAAAACAAATATGAGCTTCCATGAGCGCGCCGTGGCCTATGATTATCTGGATGAAAGCGGAAAATAAAATCAAGTTGATGTATAAATATGTTTTACGCGCAGGCACGTTACAGAGTTCTAATCCTAGTGTCGGGTAGTGAAGACTCGGTCAGAAGAATTCAACAGTTAAATAAATATCTCGTTGTCAGTTGGGTTGGAGGAGATCGCACGCGCGATGTGCGAGAGTTCTCGCTA